GGGGCTGGAGTGGGTAGGTGCTGAGAGGGGAGTAAGGTGGGGGGAGAAAGGGGGGAGGGGCAGACTGGTTGAGGGGTGCCAGGTAGAGTAGAAAGGAGGTGTGGAGGTGGAGGCGTGATAGGATTATAATGATTGGTAGTGAGATTGTGTGTGACACAAATGGTTCCAAGTGCACAGGGTGTGCGCATCAAGGGGTCCACATTGCAGGCTTCAGGAACCACGGGAGTGCGGGAGACTTGTTGCTGGCGATTGGTGCAGAGGTCTGGAGAGGAGGGGCCGGTGTCAGGGCATGCAGGTGGTTGAAGCGCACCGAGGGATACATCATCATTTGTTTTTTAAATAGCCACACTAGTCTTAAACACATTTATAACGGGCACGTCAGTCATCAAGTTAACAAGAAAAAAAAAACATTATAAAAACAAATAAGCGACAAATCAAAACGTGCTGCAAAGATAACTTCTACAAACGTGAATTTTCCGGCAATCGCGCCTCGAAGGTTTCAGTCAGTCAATACATAAGACGGCACTAAGTAGGCCAAATTAGGGCTCAAAATCTCGTTCAATATAATATACTAGCTGGCCCCCCTTTCGATGAAAGGAATGATCGGTGCATTAACATCAACTGAAAGTCATTGGCCTACAATATTTAAACTCGACTGGAATGAAACAATCAATCTTGAGAGGTGCAAGAAAATAGAAAGTCTAGATCCATACTCTTAAAACAAAATGCGCCTCGCTAAATATCACTTCCGGCACTTCCGTTGTGAAGGAAAGCTACGCAGATTTGTTTCGTTTTTCAGTGGAATAATCACAAAGCCCAATTAAAGGACGTGGATTTTTTGTCAAATATATTTTTTTAAATTCAAAAAATGAATAAACCAAAAATCGTGCTCCGTCATAGGGATCTATCTATCTTTTTGCAGGAACTTGCCAACTTTCAACTCTGTAGCTGTCGTAGTTTTATTGGAAGAGTGACATAATATGTGTTTCCAAGCTGCAAAATAGATAATAGATAGAAATTGATTAACTGAGTAGGCCTCTACACATATAGATACACACAGAGATGTCACCAACAGGCATATTTAGATACACACATTTCCACATCTTGATTCCCCGTCATGTCGTTACAAATTCTTGAATTTTACCTTTCTCCTGTCATCATTTTTTCGGACAAACAATGCGGAAAGAAGCATTGGAGAATATTGTAACAACAGGCAAGTTTGATGAAAAGAGAGGCAGATGCAGACAGAGGGAAAAGATACTGGACAAGATGACAACAAGGCTAAAAGCAGCAAGAATAACAGGCACAAATGCTGCAACGCAAGACAGAGTGAAGTGGAGGTCCAAGATCGCCCACGCCAGTCGGCAAGGCACCGGATGATGATGATGATCTCTACACCGAGCCTCCAAAAGAAATTCTGGGAATGTCTACCGACTCTGTTTGATAAATACAGCACTGCACACGATCCTGATTCATATCCGTCTCTGAACAAAACGTTTTAAAAAGATGTTCAGCCCTTTCCATCTCAGAGTATGAAAGAACTGCTTAGTGTAAGACTCCGCTATACGCCATTAAAAATAGTAGCACATAACAGATTCTTATACTAAGATGTTGAAACATTATAATTTACCAAAGCCTTACAAGCAGTGAAAACGAAAAAAAGACAATCTAATGTCAGTCCAAGAACCAGGACAAAGATAAGGGTACTGGTAACGTACCAGTGATACCGATTCTGGAATAAGTTAGAACCGAACCTGTAATCCTTGAGTGCCGCGAATATTCTAGCAAGTCGTGAGTAGGGGACGACGACTGCCTCACTGCTGTACCATTGGACGTTGTACTGTGGCTGGTTACCTGTACAAAGTGGCAGAAAGGGGTGTTCATTACGGATTTCTTGTAAATGTCAAATTATGTCAGTGCGTTTAAATTGTTGCGAGCAATTGTCTGTTCTTGTATGTCTTCTGATTGTGTGTTCGTATAAGTGTACGTGCATTAGATAATGCGCTAGCGCAAGAACAGCTTCGTGAATTATATTATGTGTAACGTTGCATATTTTGAGCATTCAGGTATCATTTCTGATGTTGTGTGCGTGTGTGTGTATGTGCGTATGTGTGTATGTGTGTGTTTGTGTGTGTATATGTGTGTGTGTATATGTGTGTGTGTTTGTGTGTGTATATGTGTGTGTTTGTGTGTGTGTTTGTGAGTGTGTGTTGTGTTGTGTTGTGTGAAATGTGCATGCGTGTGTGCATGTGTGTGTGTGTGTGTGTGTGTGT